GCTCCACAGCACCGCATGGAGCAGCTGCACGGCAAGGGCATGGCAAAGGCAGGGCAAGGGCAAGGGCATGGTGTCCCCTTCTTCCTCTGCACCCACAGCTGGGCTCTGAGGCTGCCTGCCCAGGCAGGGCACGCAGCGTGGGCCGGACAAGGCAGAGCCAGTGTGATGTGATGGGGAGGGAACAAGGTGGAGCACGAGGGGCTGGGGAAGGGGCAGCCTGGGGCAAGGACAGGCAGGAGAAGCCCCAACCCCATCTCTGCCAGCCTTGGGCACGTCCGTTCCCCATTCCAGCCAGTGGCAATTGTCCCCCGGGGTGGCCCCTCGCTGCCCCTCTCCCAGCCACCACCAAGGCTGCTGGGGGCAAAATCAGGCACACGCGGACCCCCCCAGAGATGCTCCCACAGCATCCACCAGCCCTGACCGCGACGCCTCCGAGAGCAAGCAAGGTCCTGGAGGGGATCGGGGCAGCGCTCCCCTCCTGTCCCCTGTAAGCAGATGTGATTACCAGGATAATCTGCACAGCCACGCACAGGTTTAACTTGTCCCCGGGGCTCTCCCTGCTAAGTCCCATCTGAAAGTGAAAAGGGCACAGAGCCTGAGCCCTGGCAGTGGAGGGATGGTGGGGGACGGACACACTTTGGGATGGGGGGTTTGCAGGAGGTGCGGGGAGCTCCTGCAGCAGAACCCAGCCCCAGAGGCAGGTGTGGGAGAAGGGCACAGGGCAGGGTGGGATGCGGGCAGGGAAATGCAGGCAGGGAGATGTGGGCAGACTGACTGGAGCTGCAGCCGTTCCCCTCACCCCTCTGCCCCAGGAACTGGGGGCAGCCCCCAGCAGCGCTGCAAGGCTCGGGGCTCTGCTGGGCACTGGCCAGGACAGCCAAGCTCAGCCCTGTGTGTGTGGGGAGGCTGAGCCCCATGGAGCTGCAGGATGCGAGTCGTTGGAGCATTTCCCATTGCAGGATCAGGCCAGGACTGAGTCAGACCCCTGACAAAATGGGGCAGGGCCACAGCGGGGGCTGCAAGGCACAAACCTCTAGCACCCACGACAGCTCGCAGAGCGGCCGCGTGTCTTTGCATGGCGGAGGCACAGGAAGGAGGGTCTGGTGCCATCCCTGCAGCCACCAGGGCCGATGACACCGTGCCCAGGCTGCACTGTGGGTCCCTGCAGTGCTGCCAGGCAGCTCTTGCCCAATGGAGCCTGCACGGGGGGGACGCCCGGCCAGGAGCCACACATGCCCCCACCGGGCCTGGGGGCACACGGCGGCAGTGGAGCAGGAGGAGTAGGAGGGAGCGAAGGCGCTCGCTGCCCCTCCAGCCCACAGGTGTGCAGCTGGCTCCACGCTGCAGCGAGCACCTGCACAGCCCCAACCAGCAGAGCTGCCAGGAGGCACCAGCCCACATGCCGGAGCCACGCGGCAAAGCCGAGCATGCCACATCCCAACACAAAGGCACGTCACCTCCCAGCCCATGCAGCCCCGGGTGCACCAAGCCCGGGCAGCACCCTGCCTCCTGCCCTGGGGACCCAGGGGTCCTGCCGCCCCCGAGGGGCTGGGGCTCCTGCAGCCCTTCCCTGAGGTCCTGGCAGAGCAGGGAGCCGGAGGGGACGGGAAGCAAGGAGCGTCGCCTGCCCCAGCACGCAGGGAGCTGAGCAGGGGGACGTGGTTGAGCTGCCGGCAGAGCACAGGGCGACACGCCTCCTTGTGCTGGCCATGCTGTCACCCGTGGGTGCTGCTGTACCATGGCACCGGGACCAGCTGTGCAAACCCCAGCACCCGGGCACGCACACACACACACAGAGGGCACAGCTTGGCTGCTGCACTCAGCAGGCCCCGAGGAGCCGGAGGGACTGCCTTTGCACTGAAGCAGATCGGGAGTGCTCTCATGTCCTGGCTGTTCCCTTGGGGACAGAGCAGAGGGGAATGTGGGGGATGCCCAGGGGCACTCAGAGCCTCCCCCTTCCAGGGAGGGTCACAGTCGCCCACCAGCCCCACACACAACCCTGCAGACCCCATCCAACCCGCCAGCTCCTTGGGCAGCCCTGAGCCCCGAGGCCCTTGCAGGAGCCCCTCCTGGCTCCTGCTCTCTCCAGCCGGTCCCAGTCTCTGCTGCCGGAGGAGGGACCCACCGCCGAGCTGCATCCCACAGGACCCTTACCTCCTCCCACTGGTGGATGTAGCGGATGAGCCGGGAGAGACGGAGGAGCCGCAGGAGGCTGAGGATCTTGGTGAAGCGGACAATGCGGAGGGCACGGGCCGTCTTGTACACCTCCGAGTCTATGCCCTTCTCCACAATGAGGAAGACGTAGTCCACGGGGATGGAGGAGACAAAGTCCACCACAAACCAGGTCTTGAGGTACTTCTTCTTGATCCTCTCAGGGTCCAGGATGATTTCCGTGTTGTCCTCAATGACAATCCCCGTCCGGAAGTTCAGCACCAGGTCCATCAGGAAGAAGGTGTCAGAGACCACATTGAACACAATCCAGGGCGCTGTGGTCTCCTCCTTGAAGAAGGTAATGCCCACGGGAATGATGATCAGGTTGCCCACCATGAAGAGCAGCATCGTGAAGTCCCAGTAAAACCTGGGGAGTGAGAGGATGGAGGAGAGTGTCACCAGTGCCCCACAGCCACCCCCCACGTCAAGGGGACCCGGCCATCACACCCTGCCCTAAGGGACCCGTGCTACTGGGGTGCTACTCTGACGCCACCTTGGCCACAGGCACCCCTTTCCTCTCCCCAGGGACCACATCCTGCTCCCCCCGCTCCAAAATGCCCCCAGGCCTTGATCCTGCAGGCCAGCACAGTCCCACCTGGTTGAGATAGGGCTGTGCAAGTGCAGAAGGGGTGCAGGATGAGGCCGGGGACTGTCCACTGCAGGGGGCTCTTCCTGCTCTGCTGGTTTGGCCAGAGGTCTGCCCTGAGCACCCAAACCCAGGCAGGTGCCAGAGTGAGGGGAGAACGATGAGGCAGGTGCCGGTGGGGGAGACCCTCCCGCCGAGCCACCCTGGGGCAGCCCGTGGGCTGGGGACCACCCTCATCCCCAAACCACCCGCCGCGAAGGGGCCATCGCACTCTCCACAGGCAGCGCTCAAGGTCGTGCGTGGAGGCAGGACGGGAGAGCCCGGCCTCCCCCACCACTGCCCTCAGAGCGGCCCCCACCCCTCCCTGCTCCCAGAGGGGGACCCGAGGATGGGGAACAGCGTCCCTGGGGACGGCCGAGGCCACCCCACCCCAGCACCTCCCTGGACCAGGCTGCAGTCCCAGTTTCGGGGGTGAGCAGGGCGGAGGCTGCATATCTGACCCCGGCAGCGTGGCTGCGGGGGGAGGAGCCGCCACGTCTCCCGGTGCAGCAGATCACGCACAG